AAGGATAATGCGATTTTTCAATAAAAATCCGCCTGAAGACAAACTGGATGTGGCCCAGGATTTTAAAAAAATTGCACACATTTGATTTGCAAAAAAATCATTAATTCATCACCCATTAAATATATGCAATATGTATAAAAGAAAGAGTATCCTCCATTGGATTAACAATATTTATATAGACTATGCCTGCCTTAAATCCATCCCCGCATTTGAGAATCATATACTGGGAATCAAGTTTGAAACTTGGCCATGAAGCAACTTAACAGTTTGAGCGTGGAACATTTTAACAAGCAAAATTGAGCAATACGAGCTTCAAATATGTTGTACTCATCATAAGCAATGAAAATCTTTAAAAAAAAAAAAAAAGAGGAAAAGAGTTGTTCTTACCTCTCCCGAAGTGTGTCTCCGGTCAGGGAGCACCAGAGTGTTGGCGTGGCTGCCCGGGACTACGGTCGACCCGATACTCATTCTGGGTCCCACGAGCATGTAGCGCTTGTCTCCTGATCTGTACTGGATGCTGTGACACAGCGTGGCGTCATAATATAATTGGCGTCTTGCAGATATTTGGAAGTGTACTCTGTGGATTTGGAGCACTGCATGGCGATCAGCACGATGATGCTGATGACAAAAAGGAGCGACACCGAGCCTAAAGTGACGATGAGGTAAAAAGTCACATTGTCCTCTTCGTCCTCTTTTGTTGCACTTTTCACATCGGAAGCTGCAAAAGCCTCTTTGGGCTCCACAAGTTTGATGGTCACAGTGGCCGATGCTGAGAGCGAAACATTGCCGTTGTCCTTGACCAGGATGAGCAGCCGATGCTCAGCCTCGTCCGTCTCTGTGAAGGAGCGAAGTGTTCGGATCTGACCCGTATAGCGGTCCAAAGAAAACAGGCTGTGGTCGCTGACTTGTTGCAGTGAAAACAGCAACCAGCCGTTATATCCGATATCGGCATCATAGGCTCGGACTTTTGTCACCAAGTCTCCTGCTTTGAGATTCCGGGGAATTTCCTCCCGTCTCAAAGTCAAAACTTTTTAGTGCCGATATTTCACCATTCTCAGGGTTGATGTTTAAAAATGTTGACATTTTACCTTGCCGCCCTTCTCTGTTAATTTGATACGTCAGTGCCGCATTTTCATTCAAGTCTTTGTCGAATGCGGTGACCGAAAATATGGACTTCCCTGGCACGTTATTTTCCAGTAAATAAAGTTGAATTGGACTTTGCGTAAAGGTTGGAATATTGTCATTAATGTCTGACACGTCGACATGCAGAATTTTAAAAGTGGACAAAGGAGGTTGACCACAGTCTGTCGCTGTGATTGTGATGTCATAATCTGCCACTAATTCTCGATCCAGCCTGTCTTTCAGAGCCAGCGAGTACATGTTATCTTGAAAGGAAGGTTTTAATTCGAATGGGACATTTTGTGACAGTCTACATATAACTTTGCCATTCAGTCCCACGTCTTTGTCGGTGATGCTTATAAGAGCAATGACAGTCCCGGGTTTTGAATCCTCTGCTACCGTTTTTGACAGAGATGTCACGTCTATTTCGGGTTGGTTGTCATTTTCGTCCACTATTTTAATGATCACTCGGCAATCGGTACTCATCGGCGGTTGTCCTTTGTCTGTGGCGTGGACGTCTAATTTGTAAACATCTGCCTTCTCAAAGTCTATTTGGCCTTTAACGCTGATTTCACCGGTGTTTTTATCCAAACTAAACGTTTCGTAGATTTCTGAGTCAAGTTCTCCACCAAAATAATACTCAACTTCTCCGCTTATTCCTTCGTCCAGGTCAATTGCTTCAACCTTGATAACACCTGTTCGCAATTTCACATTTTCTGATAAATTGACCGAATATACTTCTTGCTTAAATATCGGGTGGTTATCATTCGAGTCAAGCACTATAACTGTGACATTAAGACTTCCAGATCTTGCTGGATTTCCACCATCAACTGCAGTAAGAACAAGTCTGTGCTCAGTATCTTTTTCTCGGTCCAGAGACTTTTGTAATACTAAGAATGGTATTTTATCATCTCCTCTGTTTCTAATTTGAATATCAAAATATTCGTTCATGCTTAATTTGTATGCACGGACTGTATTCACAACGACATCTGGGTCATTTGCATTGGGCAATTGGAAACGTTTTCCGGGTAGTGTAGATTCAGGGATTTCTAAGATCTTCTCTACCTCTTGAAAAGTGGGTGCATTATCATTAATATCTATAATTTCTAGGCCTACATGATGTATTTCCATGGGGTTTTCAGCAACTAATTTCAGATTAACTAAGCATGGAGAGACACTCTCACATAGCTCCTCTCTGTTAACAGTTTTACGCACAAAGAGGACACCATTGTTCACATTTACCTCAAAGTGAGCCTCCTCTGTGCCTGAAACAATCCGAAACCGTCTCTCTACCAACATGCCTACGTCCAATCCCAAATCCCTGGCGACATTCCCCACCACAGTTCCCACTTTGACTTCCTCTGCAATGGAATATTTGATCTGTGCTGCAATCTGCTCCAAACAAACCACTATGATGCAGAGAAAAAGACCTCGCCTTTGTCCTGCTGCTCCCATCCTCCCAGCTTGGATTACAACGTTGAAATCCAAATTCCTCCAAAGAATGAAACCTCCAAAATGACAAAATTATCAAAGGTATTCCAAAATATAAGGCAAAACAGGACAGAAACAAGAGCAATATCCGTCTCTGTTGAAGATAACGTCTCCTCTTGATGACTTGAACGAAACGGTTCCAGAAGGGGTCGGTCCGCCCAATGTTAATCACATTGTATTCTGGAGTGACACTGCCACCTCGTGGTTATAATTTCTTGTATCCATGCAAAATATTCACACGACAATAAAATGTGCTCCCGTGTGATTGTGAGCGTCCTTCTTGCCCCACATAATGCACTTTCACTACCGGTATGAACATCACATCACTCACTGACGCTTATCTATCGTCATTAATTTGATCGCGACATTGGTTGCCTTACAATAAATGCTGTACAATCCTCAACTAACACCCTCTTTTTAATTTAAAATGAAATCCATAAAGTGTTTCTCTCTGTCTCAAACTAGAATTTAAATCAATACATCGCAGCTCTCGGAATGGTATATTATGAGTGACCCAAAAAAAAAAAAATAT